CCCGGATTTTTATGGTTTTTCTATTTTGTTTGCCTGTATTCCGATGGAAACTTAACAGCCAAGCTTTTTAACGGGCGGAAACTCTCATGTGTATAAGGAACGTTAAGATTTGGAAAGAGAAAATTTATTGCTACCACATTTTTTACATACGGATAAAAACAAAACAGCTGCAGATACCGCCGACTCGAAACAATTTCACTTAACATTCTACGTGACACAAGATGCTGAATTTAATCACAAATGTGTTTTTAAATAATAGTAGATTGCAAACCGAGGTGAGAGGTCCTTCATTGCCGAGGCGAAAATTGATCACCGAGGCGCGAAGCGACGATTACGAAGGTTTGTATACTATTCTATTTACAATCATCCTTCTTGAAGAACAGAAAGCCAATGAAATATAATTTAGGTTAGAAAAATATTCACTTCCTTATTAGTTTTCGGATTGGGAAGTGTCTCTTTCCTAATATTACAATGAACTGGTAAGGAAGTGACCACTTCCTAACCTAAACTGTATATTTCATACCAATTGTTAAATGAAGTCATGCTTTCCAACTTTTCACATGCAATGCAATTTGATTATTACTTTGTGATTGTGAATAAAAACTTGTCAAGCTTGTTTTCTCAAGAAAGATAAACACCTGATTTAGAAGAAGGATAATCTTAAATATTTGTTGACTAAAATAGATTGGTTTTGTGTATCGTACTTGCGTTGTATGAACTCTCAATTTACATTTCATCCAATTTATTTACTCTGGCGCAACAGAATAAAATCAAATGAAACGAAATACCTATGTGGTGTTTGTAATTAGATTTTTCCAGACCCCCAGAAAGATCGCATTATGAAATATGCAAAAAGTTATTTATTATCTTATTTAAAGCGAATATTTTTCCGTCACCGTTTACGATATAAATTATCTTCGGGAAGACACGTTATTCATCCATTTCGCTATTTAACCGTAAAACACAAGATAACCAAAAGCATAAATCTTATATCATTAACATTACTGAAACTTTTCTACACCCAAAAAGTTGAATTAAAGACGTTTTAATTAAAATTAAAATGCAAAGTACGAATACTATCTGATAAAGCTCTTAAATTTTTGCAAAAACAACTATCTCTATCTTTTTCGAAATTATTATTACAGTGCAGATATGACGTTCTTTGAGTGCAGGTTTTTGCTCGCTCGTTAAGCAGATTCGCTAGTCGTAATTCTGCATTAGTTTTGGGGTAATGGGGGCAAAGTGGTGTGAAATATATTGCAGCAGTATCATAACTACAGCATGTCGCACTATTTTACAATCTACGTGCAAAGAGTTCCGAAATGTGCGCCAAGCTTTATTCACTGAGAATTAGAAAATTTAATTGCACTTGCACTCATCCAAAGCCTAAAGGATTTTGCATGCGTGCTCTCCATTTAAAAGCCATTCTTTCACAAAGAACGACTCATTTCTACTCGTGTCGAAATACTCAACTTTTTTTAACATTTTTTCCCAAAGAGAATGGCGACAGCTAACGAGCATTCTTTACATGATTATGCGATTTTCTACTGTAGAGAACGAGAGCCACAAAAAATATGGGAATATCACGGCTGCCAAACGAGAAAGCCAGAACTTGAATACCTGAATTTCGTTGTTGGTGCAATATACGGAAAGAGGGCTTATAGCTTGGTTAGCAACATCGATAGTACGTACATACATAGTATGTACATACTGAGTGATTTAAACTCCAGTCTGTTGAACATTTAACTACAACAAAAGTTGTTATTATAAGCCAATTTCAATTACAAGTATTTTCAAATAATTGGAATTTGTTTTTATTTTTATTTTATTTTTACGAACGTATGAAAAGATAGAATAAGCGGGGATATACTAGTGTTTTTTGCTTATTGAACTGGATACTTGACAACTTTTCTTACAGAAAGGTGTTCATTGTAAAATAGTTAGCTTTAGATTCATAGTTTTTATGAAATTAGTGATTATTTGATTAAAAAAATAATAACTACTAACTAGTGTTTTGATCGTCGAATAAATTTAAATTTGGGGCTCAGTCTTGAAAAAAAAATAGCAAAAGAAAGAAATTAGCATAGGAAAAAGGTCTCTTACAAACAGGGTGTGTCAGAACACGCGCCTCAGAGAAATATTTCAAGTACAAATGATAAAAAATGATGATCTTGTATATGTTTTTTTTTATAATTATACAAAAATTTTGCCAATAAACCACAAATAACATTAAACAAAGTTATTATTTAGGATACAGCTTCCTTGTTTCCTCTTCTAAGAGCCTGTGGCAAAAAAAACTTGGAAAATAATTTTTTCAACAGAAATAAATAGTCAAAGTGCAAAATTTAAACTCTCATAACTTCGAAATTTTTATAGATTAACATTTTTTCTATGTTCCTGGTATCGTACCTGGGGCGCGCGTTCTGGCGCAGCCTGTATAAAAAAATGTTACCAACAACTAGCAATGTAAACTTTAGGATAAAGTTTTCAAAAGGTTTAAACTTTGTTTATATTGCATTTTTTGACAATTTTGACAATTTTTTAGACGCCAAAGTGAAGGTTTCATCTTTGTTATCTCAAAAACTATAAACATTTAAATAAACCAAGTTTTGTTATTTTGACTTTTTCTGAGCTCTACTACCACTGTTAAAATATTTGCACATACTTTTAAATCACCCGGTATTCCAAATAAACCGGAGCAAAATTATTGAATTTTTGTCCACTCGAAAGGTTTTTTTACTGTGATTTAAAATTCTTGAAAACTTCTTTAAATTTCTCAAAAACTCTTGAAATTGCCATAATGTGTGTTATTCTAAAATACAAGCAATCGATACATCACTCTGTATTTTTTTATTACTTTTTACCTTTATTTATATTGGTTTTGAGAAGTCTCAATTGTTCATTTTGATATATTGGGTAAACAGTAGTTTGAAACTTTTTATCGAATTTAAAACTTCATAATCTGATTAAAACTCGGGTTATTTTTGCGTTATTTTGCATTGTTTTGTGGCTGTGGATGTAGCAGAATGGAATCAATAGCGCTTCGCCAGTCGTAGGTAACGGAATTAGAATATTACGAGTTGAAATCAGGCAGTGCAAGTTATGGATTTTCATTTCCTCTCAGTTGATTCGGTTTTTACTTTCCATGCTCTTCTCATGGGAAATTAACTGAATGCTAAAGTTGGTGCGCTAATAACGCCTCGAAACCCTTGATTTGTGCGATTACCAAAATCTTAAATAATTATTATTAATTCAGAGGCGAATGCTCAACTCCTAATTCCACGTTATACCTGAACTTTGATAACGTAAATTGTAATAGTTGGAGACTTATTGAACTGATTTATCGAGCTATTAACACATTATTCATAAGTGTACCTAATACGATTGATATAAAATGTCCGAATGGCACGCTTTAGTTTCTATTAATAACCCAAGAGACGAGTATTTGTGCCTTTGCTATTTATAGACGTTATCAATCAAATTGAGTTTGTGTACGACGCGATATTTAGCTCCCAGCTATAAGATACCGCCTGATGAAATACCGTAGTTAGATTTTATGAATATGAATTTGATATTGCAGAGAGAAACTACAAACTAAATTGAAACACCAGATAGCTATATTTTATATCACGTGATAAATTTAAACTTGTCCAAAATTAATTAACACTTTTTTTTCCAAATTGTCGTCTTTTTCTCAGCTTTCATTTAAATTTTGTCTTTGGGAAGACAACAAATAGGCAATAAAATTAGCTCAAGGGAGCTTGAGCGCTACTTATCACATCTGTCACCTAGTGATAAACTCGATTTTAATTATCCAATAGGTAAGAAAATAACAAAACTCTTAAGCTAACACGCCAAAGCGATTTGTTTCAAAGCCTCCAAGACTCGTTGTAGTGCTAACTATAACAGCACGTAATTAAGGATAACGCCAGAAGGTAAAATCAAACCATCTTGTTTTTCGCTCTAGAAACTTCTAAAATAATCGTAGTAATATTTGGAGCATCTGTAGTGCTTACTCGTAAAATTGAATTTTTCCACTGACTTCTTGTATATCAACTAACTTATGATTTACATAGGTAGATCATAATCATAATATCACCACCTTGCTGTCGAATTCTTCTCTTTATGCCGGGGGATATCACCACAAGTATCGCTTTTGTATAACTGTAGAATGATTGAATGTATGACATGATGGACTTTTATTCACATCCTTGATGCGCTCGGCCTAGTTTTACAAATATGACGTCGTATGGGCCCAACTGATAATTACATTTGTTTGCTGGAAAAATCAGTTAAAACTTTTTCGTTTCTGACAGCGGGATCACGCACAATCCGACATGTTTGAAACATTTCTGATAGAAATTGGAATAAAATAAGCAAGCGGAAACGGTTATTAATGACTAAAACTTTTTTAAATTAGTTTGAATGATTAAAATAACTAAAACAAAAAAAAATGGGTATAACACGGAAAACTACTTTCAGCATTTGCATAAAGATACACGGCGAATACACTTAATTTAAATGTAGAATAAGCAAATAATGCAAAAATCAGAAAACAACAATTTGAATACGTAATTGGCGCTAATTAATTAGCCAGCCCAAATGGATGTGTACAGCTCGTTTCAGATGTGCGTGTAGATTATACGTAAACTCGTTTAGTAACGATCGGTTTAATACATCCGAACTGATGAATTTATATCTGTTAAGGTTTACAAGGCTTTAGTGATTTGGTGATGTTAGTGTGCACGAAAATTCAGCATAATAGCCGCTCATTAATAAGTTTAATTCATACAGCTTGCAAACATTCGTTATTTCAAAAAAGTTATTGTAACTAATTATCACTTCACACACAAAAACATAATTACTATTAAACTCAAAGGCACACTAATTGATTTTGGGCATTTGAATATTTTATTTGAGTGTAGACAATCCGTACAGCTAAATATTTAATTGACTGTATCTTTGTCCCTTGCTGTATTTATCGTAAATTCTTGTTTCAGTGGTCGTGACTCAAGACATGGAAGCTGTCGAAGGCAAAAGTGTTAGTTTACCATGTGATGTGACGCCACCGAATAATCATGATAAAGTATACATGGTCTTCTGGTTCCAGCAGGGTTCAGGGTATCCTATATACAGGTGAGTGAAAAATGTGTAAAATCAGCGGTTTATGATAAAGCTTATAATTTAATATAATTTAATGTAGGTATGTATGTTAGTACAATATGTTTCTGATAGATTACGTTTTGGTTGTTGATAGATATTGCCCGTGGTTCAATGTAGATAACCATCAAAATAATTATTATAATAGCGGTTGATGGAAAGATTTTATTCATTTTGTAGTGGAACGTTTGACAAAGTGATGCCACATTATTACAGTCATTGATGTCATGTAAAATTTGAATTTCTGTTTGGTAGCTACTACGTTCAAATTACTGTTACTGATATTGATTTTGTGGCGTATTGAAAATACTTTTATGATATCAACCCACCAGAACATTTCTATTTGCATAAGCAAAAATAGCGCAACTGTTTTAAAATTTATTTTTAAACTCATTTCAAGATAAATTTATGAAGGGGTTTGTGCAAATGAGCAGCGAACACTTTGTCTATTTACGCTTGCATTTGCGGCTCGTTTATGAGAAAGTAGGTACTATGGATTTGGTCAAATATTTGCTTACATACAAAGTCGAGTGTATTAACAAGAACAGCCCCATAAAGCAAAAGTGAAATAAATCAGTTCGTAACAAAGTGGCAACATTATTCAATTCTCATTACTCGTCAGTCTCGGTAATTATGATAAGAGTAACTGTGCCAGTTTTATGCATCTAGCCGCGTTTGTTATTATCTTTTATTAAGACAAATGTGTTTCATAAAAAGTTACGATCAATTAAAATTCAGGCCAACACATATTGCTTCGATAACAATATACCATTAAACTAAAGTCTGCACGAACAACCCTCTAAATTAAACTATCAAGTCTTGTTAACCATTTTTTCCCGAGTTTTATTGTGTATTTCTGTAAGTACTTTTCATATATGCCATGACTTTTTTATTATCTTTACATTCAATTTTCGGCTAATTAATTAATGTGCTGTAGGGCTTTTATGACTCCGCATTTTGGTTATCAATCCAAAAGCAGAAAGGTTTTCAACTTTCGTGACTACAGCAACATTTTTTATTGCTGTTAAAAACAAAATAAAACCACGATGAAGATTAGCTTTTTCGCATTCAGTGGAGAGAAATGTGTTGTAAATTCTCTAGAGGTCAGACTTTCCAACAGTTTATACAGGCTATTCATTTATCGGCGATTTTGATATATTAGTTTGCTCTTTAAAGGTCAATATATGCACTATTTAGCATTTTTTCTCGGTGCAGTATTTGTTTTTAAAGCTTTGAAATATAAATTTAAAAACATGAACTGTAGCCTTATAGTTGATGAAAAATAACGTATCTGAATTGTAAAACAGCGTTAACTCCCTGGCTATCTAGAAACAGTAGCTTGATTTTTACAGGCGGTGTTGGCTTTTGGGAGAAAAATAAATTATTGCTGCCAGAATAACAATTTTAGAAGAAGACAGTATTTTACACTAAACTACATCTAACTCTTTAATTGTCACTTGTATACACGACAAAAAAATTTTTCTTTGACAGTTAGATACGCTCATTTATTCCCTTTCTGAAAATGTTTCAAAAAGTAGGAGGTGCCATTTAAAATTCTAAAGTAGGGGTGGCTAGCGACTAGGGGATGAAACCTAAAACGTATTTAATGTTGGTTTTAAACTCTCCCATCACAACCCAAATCGACATATTTTTTATTTAAATAAAATTGAGTTCAATCAAAGACTACTAGGACTAAAAATTTCAAAAATTAAACCACCCCTAACTGAAAAACAAATCGACAAAAAAATTTCTTTGGCATTTAGGGACGCTGATTTTTTCTCTTTCCGAAAACGTTCTAAAAAGTAGGGGGTGCCATTTAAAATTTTAAAGTAGGGGTGGCTAGCGACTAAGGGGATGAAACTTAAAATGTAACTAATGTTGGTTTTCAACTTCTCCCTCGAGATCCTAATCGACCTGTTTTTGCTTGAAAATCCATTTACTCAATGTCAAAAGTTATTGAGACTGAATCCTTTTGAAATGAAAGCCCTGTATAATACTTAATTAGAATTATGTTTATATTGCTTATTTTAATTTTTGGGAAGTAAGATTGTGACGCAAAAAGGATATTGATAGAAAAATCAATCACGTAACATGATTTGCTACCCTTTGGGTATAAATATTCTATTATTAAGTAGTTGCGTGTTGAATTCATTGCGTTTATTTGCCATTGTTGTAATAACATCAATATTGAATCAAGTCTTAAGTGAATATAAAATCTATTTATGCCTTAAATTAAAATCTAAATAAGACCAGAAAGTGCGGGAGATGGTTTGTTAAATGGAATGTGTTTATACTTATTCTATGTTTTATCTGAATAATAATTTTTACAATGGGAATTAACAACGTCGTCGACTACAGACGCTCTTAAGAGATTTTTGTAAACGATTTTCATGATTAGGCCGTTTCCGGCCGTATTCCGACGAAGAATGTTCTAGCTTGAATTTTTATAGAGTTTTTTTCTAATTTTTCTTTTCTAATTCTTTTAGGGGCTGGAAAAACTGTATTTAATTGATTTTATACTATTTGCTTCTTGTTTTTTTTATTTTGTTAAACTGGTTTTCTGTTCGTGCCGTAAGAACGCAATAATTTTTAAAATATACAGTGCGTCCCCGGATAGGTGAAACGACTCTTGTAAAAAACCAAAAAAATTTCATTTTTTGAGATTTCAAGATTAATTTATAACATAATTTTAATTTTGAAAAATCAATTATGTCTTGGATATTAAAAAAAAAAATTTTTTTCTTGGTAATTGCTTTTTGTTAGCAGATACGTCAAAAAATTATTTTGTAGTAATAATTTAAATATGAGTTTATTTTTATTTGTAATACAAGAACTATTAAAAATAAAATTCTTTGATTTGCGAAATACAGCGTGATCATTTAGGACTGTTTAAGTTGGCAACAGATGTGAAAGTATTTTTGTTAATAATTTGTTTGATAAATACTTGACGTACAACCTCTCAAGATTTTTAAATTGTTGTTAATCAGAAGCATACTCCAGTGGTTTCTTTTAAAAATTAAAGTAAAGTCAGGATTGCCAACAGATTTATTTATTTTTGATCACTTTGTAGTAAACATAAAAGAAAAATGAAAAATCATAGTTGGCTGATGATTTTGAAATTTGGTATACGGGCCTAGATATAGATTCTGAACTACTTTTCTTAATAACTTTTTGTCGTATTTGCCATACAAAAGGCACAGTAAAATAGGTTTTATGAAACTTTCTAACGCACACTTTAAAAGTAAAATTATGTTAGAAATGAGTCTTTAACCAAGCATAGCTGAACTCCAAAAAATGAAAATTTAAATCTAGATTTTTTTATTTTTTACATGAGTCGTTTCAGTTATTCAGGGACACTCTGTAGCCATGTTGTAGTGTTTGAAGACGGCGATTTCCACTATCCATCAATTTGCCGTTTTGCATTATCAAGCGGATCTCGCGTCTTCAATTTCCGCTTTTATTTATGAATTTTCCGGCAAACTGTCGTCTCGGCTTGTCGTGCATGTATGAGTTTAATCGCGGTAGCACGCTAAGCAATTTCCACGTGTCTGTTTGGTTGTATTATGAAATCGCGTAGCGTGTAATGGTCTGGTAGAGATGATACCCGTACCTATTTCAGCAAACACGTAGAGACGATCGTCGGTACCAACTAAGTGTTTATAGGTCTCTGAGGGGCAGAAATACACTCTCTTATATCAAATAGATACGCTATTATCTTTAGCAGTATTATGAACCTGCAGTGAGCAAAAAGTCGGCTTCATTTTCCATGCACTGGCTGCAACGCTATTTTAAGTTTTGTGCTGGGGCGGTATTTGTCTTCGCCAGACAGGTTTGTGAGTTTGTTGGTGTTGTTGCAAATATCAAGTGGCAGGACAGGTTTTCTGTGACAAATTTACATGAAAGCTAGAATAATCTAAAAGGGAAATGAATATATAATTTGACAAGAAATTCAAAACTTTTTGGAGGAAAAATCTTTAATTATAGTAACTGTATAACATTTTTTTATACCTATCACAATCGGTTTTAGATTGTTTTAATAATGCAAGTTTCTCAAGTTGTGAAATTATTAAAATTGCCAACTTCACCAACAGCAGTGGATATACAAGAAAAAACTCAATCTAATGCAAAAGTTCTGGCACGTTTTCATGGCAAAGTAAGTAGGCGTGTATCGCACTCTAATTTATATTTATTTTAGTTTTAATGGCAAAAGTCTTAGGCTGACTTCTAAAAACTTCATGAGAAAACAAAGCTGACACCGACTGAGTTATTCTTTTGAGTTTTGTTTCACGTATAAAAGAAAATGTTTGCTTGGTAAAAAGCTCAAATTTCCAGATACCACAACTGAGAAAATTGAATTCTATTCTTTCCAAAAATCTTTAAAAGATTTTATAAAGTGTTGAATTTGAAATATAATCTCTCAAACTGTCTCTGCGTTATTCATCAACTTGTCGCTTGCAAATTTGCATGCTAAACAATGATAAAATTGCAAATTTTGAAACACTTAAACCGCGGCGTTTGTTGCAATTTTCTTGAGCATACTTTGTTAAAGCACAGTGTTTGCTCAACGATAATTTTTATAAACCATTGAGTATCTGCAATATGTGAATTTTTTTATCACGTCTTGCAATTTTTTTATAGGATCCAATTACGAAATAGTCAAGTGAAACAAATCTGGGTTTTTGGATTGTCGTCTCTCGTCTCGCATTTATTTAGGTTTTCGCATGAATTCTGGAGATTCCTGTAACTACAGACAACTGTCGCGCTCGGAATTTTTCTCTTGGTATTTCATTTCACGTAATAGATGTGGCAAAAGAAATAACCCCATTGTTGTCTTGGAATCTACAACCTATGTTGGTGTGTTTCACGTGCCAACATTACAGTAATTAAATCTCTTTTAACTGTCCATTACTGCACCCTGTCCATAAACAAAGTCACACTGACCATCGGAATCGTCGACTTTAACCACCCATTAAAAC